GAAAGCAGACAAACTAGACAAACTTCCTTATCTATATGAATTCTCCTTCCATTTGTTTTTCAGTCAGAGCTCCAAACCCTGGGATGCTCTCTGCTGTACCCCAAAGGGGAGGATCCCCCTGCTCACTATTATTAGTCTTCCTTCTCTGTTTTATTCTCACAACAACAAACCTGTGAGGTAGGTCAGGAAGAGTCAGTGAGTCCCCTGAAGTAACCTAGAGTGTTTCATGGTTGAGTGTGGAATGGAAACTGAATCTCACAGGTCCCAGGTCTGCTCTAAGCATCATGCCACACTGGCTTTCTTTCTCCTAGGCTTTGAATCTGAATCTAGTTTTCCTCAAGTATAAAATATCTTGTCTTCCACTGGGTAGAGAGTATCTCAGCATCAGGAGTACTAAACAGTTCCACAATAAAGCTAACCACTGTGGCTCTTCATTGGAAAGAAGGCATCTACTATTCCTTGTGCCATCAAAATAATTTTGAAATAAATATTGCTTAGAGTTCATCCCACTCTTTGTGTTATCGAGATGGCTGCCCTGAACTGCTCCACACAAAGATAACCCTTGTTTACTTCATACTGCCTAAAACGTGTGCCAATAAAGTCCAATGGGATCTACCTCCAGGAAATAAGGAATAAGCAAGGTCTTCAAATGTGAAGACACAGCAGGAATTAAAAGGCTTGGATCTGAGGGTTAAAACTCAAGACTGTGGGCTGTTGAGACTAGGCTACAACTGCGCTCACCATCCCTGGTCATGCAGAACACTGCATTTCTCTACTTCTATGGTTGTGCATAGTGATCACATAATGCCTTCATTTACATGCAATGGCAGCAAAAGTAGAATAATGAATTAATCCCTTATTTGTTATGGTGAATGCCACCTTTAATTTTGAATAACTGCATCTGGCTGCAGTTACTGAAGGCTGTTCCATAAAATGAGAACTCAAACACTATGAGTTAAACTGCCCATAACTGCAGTTTTTTTAGCTCACAATTAACCTACAGTATCCAAGTTCATTTAATGGAGTAACCTCCAATCAGGCTAATCGGAAATAAAATATCTTTACCCCATGGTTGCGCTCAATGATCATACAATGGCCTCATCTGTCCACTGATGGCAAATCATGGAATAATTAATTAGCCCATGACTTCCCATTGTGCGAACTGGGTCAGTGTGAAACTTCAGCAGATGAGCAAGAGAATATTTCCAGGTATTAAGTGTATATTTATGTGTGTGGAGTTATTCTGCACATCTACCAAATAATAACAATGTTATCAGAGCCTGGAAATTCTTTGTTATGTTATATATTATATTGTTTTGGAATATTCTACTAGTATACAGATAACCAATATACTTAAATACTGACAACACTGTGCTTGTATTATTTGCCAGCTAGAGAAAAAAGATAAAGATATCTAAAAATATCATTTGAATGTTCTATTACTCAGACTAACATTTCAGTTCACTACTTTCTCCCTTGCTCCTCTTAATCCTAGTTAACAGTTATGAGCTGAATTATGAGCTTGCCATGTCCTAGAGAATTTATTGCAAGAATAGTTTCTGACCCCCCTCTCTAGCAGCATGTCCTTGAACTGTTTCATGCGGGCCTCCAGGGGTACAATGGCTCGCTCTCGAGCAGCTTTGATTTCAGCTTCCATGGCAGCTTCCTTCTCCGAATCAATGTCTTTGTTATCTTCTTTCCTATAAAAATAAAGGCATGGTATATTGCATAAAGAACCAACCAGTAAATCTGACTTTCCACATTCACAAAGGCTTAAGGCCTTGTTCAGATTTAAGAATTAGTTAATCCTAACTTAAAGATTTAGCAGTGAGTTGATAATGCAGACTTTCCTTTCATATGTAACTTACTTCCGTTTCTTTGCTTTAATAGGCTCATCATCATTGGTTTCTTCCAGCATTTCATGCTCTTCTTTTACTGTAAGAAATATATGTATCAGTATCTTTGTAGCCAATAATAGTCTTCTCTTCCATGAATATGTCCAATCCCCTTTTAAAGTCATCCAAATTGGTGACAATCACTATACTGTCTAGAAGTGAATTTCATAGTTCAACTATGTCTTACGTGAAGTTCTTCCCTTTTATCTGTCCTCAATCTCCTACCAATCAGCTTCACGAATGACCCCACTGGGCTCCAGCATCATGAGGAAGAACTGTTTCACTCCCCACTTTCTCTACACCATGCATAATTTTGTACAGCCCTACCATGTCTCCCTTTACTCACCTCTTTTCTAAGCTAAACAATTGTAGATATTCTCACAGAGGAGCCACTCCAGCCCCTTAATCATTTTAGTTGCCCTTTCCTGCATTTCCCCCAACCCTATTTATTCTTACCCTCTGCTTTTTGTACTTTAACCAATTACTAATCCAGAAGAGGGCTTATTTTATTCCATGATTGCTAAGTATGATCAGGAATCTTCGATGAAGGGCTTTGTCAAAAGCCCTTTGGAAGTCCTAATAAAAAATATCTAAAATGTTACCCCTGTCCACATGTTTACTAACACTCTCAAATAATTCTGAAAGGTCAGGAAGCCAGGACTTACCTTCATGAAAACCATGATGATTCTTTTTCAGCAATACCTTGTTCTATATGCTTACTAATTCTATTTTAAATAATGCTTTTAACCAGTTTATCCAGAGCAGGCCTGGGCCTGTAATTTCCTAGACCTTCTTAGATTCCTTTCAAAAATGTACCATGAAGGTATAATATATTGTTCAGTCAATAATATATCTCTATTTTTTTTAAAAAAAATCTTCAAGTGTGGCATAGCTGACAGAACCTAATACCTGTCAACCTCAGAGACAGAAGTTCAGTTGCAACATGGGTTGCTATTACATCTGAAAACTGAGCCGTAAGTATGAACAACAGGCATCAAGAATAGACAAATGAATGTGGCTTCCCTGCATTAGGCTGCCCACCACAAACTATATGCTAATAGCAGATTAGGAGAGTTGTAGTTCCACACATGTGGAGAGCACCAGGTTGAAGAAGACATGGTGTAACTGAGTCATAAAGAATTTGCAAAATGCGGATTGATTAACTAATGAGATCATCTTACAGACTTTGTCAGTGTCAAAGGCAAAATCAGTTCAGAAAATTCCCTCACCAAGTTATTATCTACAGACGAACAGGTGATCCTGCTGATTTAATAGGGGGTTCTAAATGGGCCTCAGACATATGCAGTACTGCATTAGAAAAACTGTAAAGGAGGAGATTGTGCAATGACTCCTGTTCCTATTCTTTCGAGAAGGGTTGTTCAAAGGTCAGTGACAAGGCAGTCAGAAATATAATCCCGTGCAACTAAGTTCAAAATATGTGTGTGGACACCCATCAAAAGATATTACCTGGGCTGTCTACAGAATGCAGGAAACCCTGCTGCTTCAGACCAAGAGGTGAGTTAGCTTAGCATTCTGTTTCCAATGAACAACCGGACAGATAGTTCTGGCAAAACAAGCAGAAGCATGAAAGCAGAAGCCTTCACCCACTGTTTACCCTCCAACAATTGCCTTTGAAGATGGCCATGAACTGACATACTGTCTCAGAATTTGCCCCATCTATTAATAAGGCAGGGGCGAGGAACCACTGGCCCCTGGGTTCTCCACTAACTTTTCAATCCAGCCCACAGCCTCTCCTCTATTTGCCCTGACTCCTTCTCCCTGCAGTTTCTTACCTTCACGTTTCCTGACAGAAGGACAAGGATGGGAAAAGTATATTTCATAAGGGAAAAAAAAAGTTCATCTTGGTTCTAAAACCACAAATATAAATTTATTCTGGAACTTACTGGGTAAAGATTTGGATAGACTCCACCTGGTTGTGGAGTCCATGTACTCTGGAAGAATTATCTTAATCTGTTCTTCCTACACTCTATCTGGCATGGCTAAAGAGAGAGCCAGGCATTTCCTGAACAGAGTTCAAAGCAAGCCCTCAACACTTGGCTAAGAGACCTTATTCTGCCTTTGGCAGGCCACTGTGCAAATGATTTTAACTATCAGCAGATGAGGTGAACACCTGAAGTCCCTTTAGCCAACCGAAGCAGAAAGTTTTATCTTGATGCCATGTCCAAAAGGAACTCCTTATCCCATGGATAAGCTTTAGGCAATAATTATCCCAGAAAACAGACTCTGTAAGGCTCCAGCAAGCTTGTGCCTATTGGTGGTAGAGTATGAACATCTGAATCCTTGCCATGAAGTTCAGTTCTAATTTGATGCACAGGAGGCATCAGCCATGAGCTTACTCCACCCACTGCCCAGAACAGGCAAGGAATATCTGACCAGGCTTTTTGCTTTGGTCCTGATTTCTGTGGCTCCTCTCAGCCAGTTTTCACTAGCTGAACATTTGGACAGAGTAGCTGAAGAGCTATTAATGTAGTAAAACAGTAAGAGGGGAAAAATCCCTCTATGAGTATTCCACACACTCCATAATATTTGTATCAACTGAATATTTGCATTCAACATTCCACTGCATTCAACTGTCCTTTATGCTAACAGCTAAGCCAGTTTTGTTTCAAATAATGCTAGAGAAAGTTAAAGGTAGAAGAAGACAACCAAATACATGATGGATTGAGTCCATAAAGGAAGCTGCAGCCTTGCATTTAAGAGCTGAACAGGAATGTCAAGGATAGGACGTTTGGGAGGACATTCATTCGTGATGTTGTCTTAAGTTAGAGATAACCTGACAGCATGAACAACCAAGTACATAAAAAGCAGAGATGGAAAGGAAGTGACTCGTCTAGGGTCCTTGAATGAGTTCATGGCTGTGCAAAGGTCTGAATCAGAGACTCCATCACTCACAGTGGCATGTCTTAGATGGTGGTTGAGATAGAGCTAGCTAGGCAAGGAGTCAGTAAAAGAAAGGCCTATTATTTGAATCAGTGGGAAAAAATAAGGAGAGAGAAAACTTACCTGGGTATTACTTCCAGGCGTGCCTAGGAGAACTGAGGGCAGTGAAAAAGGAGGCAGAAACAGAAATCATCTGCCATAAAACTGCTGTTATAGGCCTACAACTGCCAGGAAGAGTGGATGGGCATTGTGAGGAGGCAACTAGAATATCTAGGACGACTGGTATGGGAAGGTCTGCTCCTAGAATGGACAGACAGATCCAACCCATTGCAGCCTAGGTACCATTCCCCCCCTCCCCCACCAGCACCTTTAGAACTGCCTAGGGAAGTGGGAAACCCCAAGAGGGATGAGACCACAAGGCATTTTCCTCTTTTTGGCATCATTAGGGAATGCCCAGAGGGCAAAGGCATTACAGGTTAGCTATTGACTACTGTCCTATGAGATACAGAAGATGAAACTCAAATACTCTGGCCACCTAATGAGAAGGAAGGACTCCCTGGAGAAGAGCCTAATGCTGGGAACAATTGACAGCCAAAGAAGAAGGGGACGGCAGAGGATGAGGTGGCTAGATGGAGTCACTGAAGCAGTTGGTGTGAGCTTAAGTGGACTCCAGGGGACTGTGGAGGACAGGAAGGCCTGGAGGAGTGTTGTCCATGGGGTCGTGAAGGGCTGAACACGACTTTGCAACTAGCAACAACAAGCAACTGCCCTATGAGTAAATTCCAGTACTGAGTATTATCTTATGAATAAATTTTCCTTTGCCTTAGCTTGTTATTGTATACATTTTGATGTGAGAAGGCTATGGCAGTGAGTAAGCTATTACATGAGGCAGAAATCCAACCATGTGTTAGTCGTTCTGTCTCCAGCCAAATGGATCTAAGATACATTGGTGACACTTCCTGTGGGATGAAGATATTGCTGTTGAATTTCACGTCAGTTAAAAGAAAAGCAGTCAATTAGGACTTGATCCTGGATGAAAATGTTAATGTAGCTTGTATTAGAGGTGCAGTTAGACAAAGCTGGAATACTGTGTCCAGTTCTGGGCACCAAGATTTAAGAAAGATGCAGATAAATTAGAAGGGGTCCAAAGGAGGGCAACAAAAATGATCCAGGGTTTGGAAACACTGCCCTATGAAGAGAGACTGAGGGAATTGGGCATGTTCAGCCTTGATAAAAGAAGACTGAGGGGAGACATGATATTCCTCTATAAGGACCTCAAAGGCTGTCACAAAGAGGAAGCTCAAGAACTCTTCTTGCTAATGCCAGAATGCAGAACATGGAATAATCAACTCAAGTTGCAGCAACCCAGACTCAGACAGGACATCAGGAGAATCTTCCTCACTGTCATAGCAATACAACATTGGAACCAGCTGCCTAAAGAGGTGGTGGACTCTGCCACACTAGAGACATTCAAAAAGAAACTGGACAGCCACCTGAGTGGGATGGTGTAACATGGTGTCCTGTAACAGTAGGGGCTTGGACTAGATGGCTTTCATGGCCCCTTCCAACTCTTCTGTTCTATGATTCCATGAAAGCTGGAGGTGTCTGAACCATTTTACCAACTTTAAAATGCAAAAAATAAGTAATCTGTGGTGTATTCAGAGATACAAACATGGACCAAAATGGACAACACTAATTTTCCTCTTACTTTGTTTTTTTACTTCATCCATTCCCTTTTTGTGAGGAGGCTCCTGAATAATTTTATCCACATCTGCTCTTCCTATTAAGTCATCTGGTCGGTCCCACATAGATAATCGAGTGGTAGGATTGTAAAAAAACACACGTTCATCGCCTGTCCACACCACACACCTAAAGAAAAGTGACAAATTCTAGATTATTTGTATTTTATCAGAATATATTCAATTCCCAAGAGTCATCAACAGACAATTCTGTACCATTTCTACAACCCATGGGTCTTTCTCTTGATAAAACATGGAGGAATGGCAGTTTCTTATTTTATGCATGTTTAAACTCCAAACCCCACAATCTAAGCAAGATTATTCAGAAATAAGACGTTTTAGATTGGATCTAGATTCAGTCGGGCAAAAGTGGGTTTCCTTACTCTCTCTTCCTCACAGTAGCACTACCAGTATATTGAAATAGCATACAGAGGGTCAGAAAACTGCTGAATGGAGAAGCTGTGGTAAGGCTGAGTTTTCTGCAAAATTTAGGTAACTTTTCCAGGAGCAAAACCCTTCTGTCCACTTAAGGCAGGGCCTGAATCCAAGCCACTGTAATCAGCAGATTTCTGAAAAAGAGTGTATGGGGGGGGGGGAGCGAGTGCATAGTTGTATATGGCACTTAACTGTACCAAAATGTAATTTAACTATATTGGATTTTGGCCCCTATGCTAAGTGGCTCATGTTCAAAGTCCTCCTCATTCTGATAAAAAGCTCCCTATCCACAGAAGGTTTTTAGTTCATCAAGGCTTTTATTCTGGCAGAACTGTGCAGGAGCTAATCTTTGCCAATTCCCCTTCCTCCTGGAGTCCTTCAGTGCCCCAATCTACACCAGATGGCTGGAAGACCCTTTTGAATACTGTCGGAAGTGTTACCAAGAGCTGTAAAAGAAGGGGGCAAAGAATGCATCTGCCGTATTCTAACTAGCTGGAACATTCTGAATGGAAATTTACTCAGAAAATACTCCTGCATGCAGAGTTAAAATCAGATCCAACCCAGTGAAAAGAAAGCAGATGTGGGTGGTGTTACTTCCTAAGACCTAATAACAAGTCTGCTAGAAAAATAACTGAAAGCCAACTTTTTATTTACTCATTATGAAATGTGCTACAGTAACTGGCCAAATATTGATATAATTAGTATAATTAAAATTTTAATTCTAAAATAAATGTTATAGCACATTAGTGGTGATGCCACCAAATTTTATAATCAGTCAGCTTTCTGGTGAAATTCTGCCTGTTTTAACACACACTTTAATGAGCCTTATCTGTCGCTTCATAAATTTGCTATTAAGTACAGAATTCATCATGAGCTTTTCCACATGCCATTTCGACCTAACAATGCTATTTCCATGCTTGTGCTGAGTTGGTTGGATTAATTTCTTTCTTGGTTATAGTAATCTGTGAGGTTACAGACAATCATGTCAGCACATTTGCTCTCATATTTTCAGCAGATCATATTTGGGTCACGGCTGTTCATATGGTAGTTTCTTTATTTGTTCAGTAAAAAATTTGCACTTCACTTACTGCTGCAAGCGGGTGCCATGCTTCTGTGAGAGGCCAGGCAAAACAACCAATCAGAAAGGGATGTATATACATTCATATGGTATGTCAGGATATGGAATGTGTTTCCAAAGTAGCACTCTCAAGATGTACTCATTTCATTTACATGGAACAATGGTTTGTTTTAAGGGAGAGCTCCTCTGAACTAACATGGGTGTGTAATGATCTAAAGGAACAACAAATTCACGCAGGGCAAGATCTCCCATCACTATGCATCAGCGGGGATACTTTTAAAGTTTATAATACATTAATCTTTCCATTGATTTGACCAAGATAGTTACATACCATGGAGTACCAGGAATAGGGGTAGTAGCCACAGGTTTTGCCTTTTGAGCTGCCTTTTCTTCTTCAGTCATTTCTTCTTCTTTTGGCTCCTGGTGAGAGTCCAGAATTTGTGGAAATCACTTACTGTCTAAAACTACTAATATACTGTATTTACTAGTTTATTTGTACTACTAGTATATAGTAGTATAATAAAATAAGTATAATAAAATCTCTAAGTGTCTGTATCCAATCTAATACTAGAGGAAAAAGCCCTGCGGTATTGTTTCAGTAATAGTTGCAACAATACCTGCAGAACAATTCACATAAGCAGCATTTATCTATTCCTATACCACTTTTTCCTGGTTTACAAAAAGCAGGGGTCCTCAAACTTTTTCACCAGGGGGCCAGTTGAAAGGTGCCGGTGCTGGGCACAGGCCAGAAAGGTGGTGCCGGCGGTGCACGTGGGCTGGTGAGGGGGTGGGGGCAGTGCGTGTGGGCGCACGGAGGGGGGGGGGGGCTGCACAGCGAGGCGCTGGTGGGCAGGCGCAGCGAGGGGAGGTGTGGGCAGGTGTGCAGGCGAGGCCAGGTGGGCATGCACCGCAAGGCGGGCGCACGAGGCAGTGGCTTGCTCACTTGGAGATCGTTTTCTCCGAGTGAGGAAACTGCTGCCTCCCGCACACAGGGTGAGGTGGGCGGTGGCAGCCGCACGTGCGGAGGGTTCAAATGGGCATGGCGGGCCAGATCCAGCCCCTGGGCTGTAGTTTGAGGACAAAGAGTAATGAAATTGTAATGAACTTGTAAAAAAAAATGGTAAAAATACTTATGGCAAAGCAATTCAAGTATTAGATTTGACATTTGACTAGGATGAGAACTGGGCTTCTACACCTATAAAAGCTTTGTGCTACTGGAATAACATTGCTTGATATAACGCTTTGTATTTGTACTGAAGCTAATAACAATAAGAAAGTAATGTGCAGAGCAGAATAAATGGAAAGGGTTCTTTCCATTCAAAATGCTAAAGAAAGATCCCTTGGAAGACAGCCAGTTCCAGGAGACACCTAAGTACAGTCAGTACATAAGATAATTTTCTGAGTCAAAATAGTTTAGTCATCCTGGAGTTTAAGTAACACTATGTAAAATATCTGACATTTGATGTTCAAGGTGCAATGCCTTAAATAATGAAAAGCTGTCAAGATATTGCACCTGTACTTTACAAGACAACTCCCACCTTACAACTTCTGGAAAAACAAAAAAGCATGCTACTATCCACAATACTGTTTTCCTGTCTTAAAAAAACCTGAAAGTAAATACTGCTCTTAATCCATTCTTAAAATACAATTATAGGTTATTCACACATCAGTTGTTAATATATGTTGGATGTTATACAAAGTAAAGAGCAAACAATTAAAGAATCTTGAAATGAAATGGAACTTAAGTTTAATTTCTCATTAATTTTGAAAGGAATAACTGAGCAAACAAATGCTAAATTCCTAGTAAAGCTGTGTTTCACTTTATCAGTTCATCCTATAACCAAGAGCAAAAATGTTTAAATGAATTGTCCCTGGACACTTATGAAAGTCAGTGCGGCACACTGGTTATAGTGTTGATCTCTGACTCAGGAGACCCAGATTCTTGCCCAACTCTGCCATGTGTCTTGGGGCCAGTCACAGACTCTCAACCCAACCTACATCACAGGGTTGTTGGTATGAGGATAAATAGAAAAAGAGGAGGATAATGTAACCCTCCTTGGGTTCCTTGGAGGCAAAAAGACAGATTATAAATATAATAATCTAATTATCATATCTGATAGATTCCTTAATACTGGGGGCATTTCCAGTGGCTAGAGATGGTAATTCTGCAGAGTCCTTCATCACACTGAGGAACAGTGCATCGCAAAAGGCTACCGACTCCCTTGTTCCTGGGTGCTCTCCCTGACACTGCGACGTTTCGAAGGGTCCCTGCTTTGTCTTACTCTGCCATCTCTGCTGCTTCCTGGCATAGCCACCCAAGCTGAACTCAGAATTCTGAGTTGTCTGGGTATTGCTTTAATCCATCTCAATGAATTCAGTACTGGAGCCCTCTAGAGGCTCACTGTGACAAGTCTGACAAACATGGTCACCTTCATGCTGACCTGAATGCCAGTACTGATATAAAGCCTGCTGAAGGGTAGAGTGCGTTCTCCTGTTCTGTGGGATAAATTGCAATTTTTGAAGGCCAAGGATGTGGGAAAGTAGCTTTTGTCACTGCAACCTACCAGAATCTTTTCGATCTTGCTTGTCTGTACTAGCCACAGGGAAGTGGATGGCTGAATTACTGGTGGCCAGAACTGGAACAACCACCACCACCCCAAACCCTGCTGCAGCTCTCATTCCCTCATTCCAGCAAGCTCTTCCCTCTGGAATTTCCTCAGCAATGCAGGAATTCCTGCAGCTCCTGTGCCTTCCTTGTCTCCTGCCTTGCTATGTAGCCTTTGCAGCACAAAGGCTCCTGCTTCCCGCTGTGCCTGCATCCTCCTGACCACTCCTGTTTCTGCTTCCTGCTGTGTCTCCTATCTTGCCATGTAACCTCAGCAATGCTGTTCCTCTTGTTCGCTTGTAGTGGCTGCTCCTGGTCCCTGCCTTTGCATGTTGCCTTGCTGTTGTGCCTGCCTCTTGCCTGACCTATATCCTGCCTTTCCTGAAATTCAGTTGCCCTGGTTCTGACACCTCTGTTGGTCTTCTCTTGGGCTGCAAATGTACCTGTACCAGCCCCAGCCCCTGACGGTTATGGAAGCAGAGAATGCATCACTTGCATGATGGTGTGGTCCATGCTGCCTTGAAGGACGTGGTGCCGTTACTGCTGAAAACCCCCTCCCAGGATCCAGAGAGCTATGCCAACTATTGCATGGTCACAAATACCTCCCTTTAGGTAAGGTGCTTAAGAGAATGCTATCATCCCAGCTTCAGGTGCTTGTGGGTAAAACAGATTATCTAGTTTGGGTTCAGGCCCACTTTTAAGACATAGTCAGTCCTGGTCATCCTGAGTGATGACCTCTTTCTGTAGCAGGACAGGGAAGTGCAATCCTGTTACTTCTCCATCTCCCAACAGCTTTTGGTAACACTGCCTGTCACCTTCTGGGCCATCTTCATAAGGGGCACCCATCCTATAATAGTTTAGTTGGGTTTCAAGAATAATAGTGGGTGACTTTATCTCAGTTCCTTGGAAACTGAGCTGTCAGGTGCCACAGGGCACCAGGAACATAGGAAGCCTGTTTTACATACCATACCATTAAGCCAGGTATCCCAGTACTGTCAACACTGAATGGCAGTGGCTCTGCAGGGTCTTAGGCAAGAGTCTCTCCTACCTCACCTGAAGAAGCAGGGACAATCTGTGTGCAAAGCAGGTGCTCCCAGTACTGAGCTATAGCACCTCCCACTATTTTGGTCCTAGTGGTGTCCAACATCTAAGTAAAGCCACTGGAAGTGATTATTACATTTGGGGCAAGATGTTATCAGTATGCTGATGAACCTATTTCTACTGTTTTGTGACACCTGAATCAGGAGACTGTGCATGTTATGAACTGATGCCTGGATACAACTCTCAGCTAGATGAGTGCTTAAACTGAATCCTGATTAGAGAAGGAAGAGTAATCCAATAGATGGGCAGCTCCTGTGTCTGAAAATTGAGTGTAGATGGGCCTGTTCTAGATGGGTCTGTACTCCTTCCAAAGGAAAAAGTAAATGCTCCCGGACCCATCTTTATCACACTGGAAGCCCAAGTGACCTCAATGCCCCATTAACAAATTTGAGAGGTACACCAACCACATTCATTTTGGGATAGTAATCGCCTACTCATAGTGATCCAGTTTTGAGGTTCCTCTGCATGACTATTGTACGGCTCTTTATGTGGCACTGCCAAAACCTGGTTTGGAAGTCGAAGCTAGAGCAGAATGCTGCAGCTTGTGTCCTCAGTAGAACAACTAGCTACACATACGTTACAGCCGTGTTAAAAGAACTGCACTAACCCACTTATTAGCTACCAAGTCATGTTCAAGGTTCTGTCATCAAGATAAAAAGCCCTAAATCACCTAGAATCATGAAATCTAGACCGCTTTCTCCCAAATGTATCCCACCAGCCCCTGAAGTCTTAAGGTAGCCTTACCAGCAGTTAAGCAACCAAAAGAACATTGCCAGTTAGCAACAGGTAATAGGCTTTGTCAACAGCAATATCCACACTTTGGAACACTCTCACATAAGCTTCAAGAGGCAGAAACTGATAGGTTTCAAAAGCCTCTTGAAAACATAATCATTCACACAATCCTTTCCTAGCCTGCAATGAACGTCACTGATCTACTTTATTGTCATATTTGTCTCTTAAAGGTTTTTGAAAAATTATACTATATTATACACAGACACATTCTAATGTAAACTACCTTGGTCTTTTTAAAATCTAGATATAGAAGCACAACAAATGAATGAACAAACAAACAAACAAATAAATAAATTAATTAACCTGTAGATGTGTTAGCTGCGTTAGGTCTTTTACCTCCTTTATAAGTTCCTTGATAGGCTCAACTTTGGGTTCCTCCTCTTCTGTTTCCATAGGCAAAGGTTCCTCAGGAGGTTCTTTAATGCTTTCTTTCATCTTCTCTTCTACTTTTTCTAAAAAGAAATTTAATTATTTACCTTCTACTTTCTGTAAATTAAGTAATACTGAACCTATTTTCTCATCAGCATAATCGGTCTTCAACAAAGCCACTCATCAACAAGCTAAGAATGAGAAATACTTTGATACTGGCATGCAAGTCTGTGATAGAAGGGGAGTTGGTGCCGTTCAGTTTTGTGTTTCTCTTTCCCTCCATAGGAAGTGGGGATCCTGCTTCTTCTACAGTCTCTTGCTTCCCTCCCCAAGTCTCTTGCTTCTCTCCTTCTACAGTCTCTTACTTTATTCCTCCACCACTGAAACCTCAGCATCTACCCCCTCCCCCTAAAACACATATTCCTTCAGAATATCTGCAAATCAACAACCCCCGACACTTGATTCCAATCACAGGTACACTTTAAGGGAAAGGAAGGTTTCCTGTAACTAGATGTGAGAAGATTAAGGGACATTTCAAAGGGTTGTTGTCAGAGCTTTCATCCCACAGAAGCAGTTTTATCAGTGGAAATGGAAAGAGTTAATACCACCCAGTCCTCCCCGTGCCTTCTAACACTGCTGTAGAAGGCTGTGAAATCTTCTAGAGCCAACTTCCAGACAGCATAAAGAGACAAGGAGAAAATCCCATTGCACAGAGTTCTATTAGCACCAAGTTAGATTTAACCCAATGTCTTGTTTTACTTCATTTAGCATCTTTACCTCAGCAACATTTCCCAGTCTCATTTGCAATTGGCTTCTCTCTCATACTTCCTTTCTACACCAGAAAGGTAAAAGGTCAATTAAGGAAACAAAGATTGTGAAAGCAGCCGCAGGAAAGAAAAAAGCGGAATGAATTTATTTGCAAGAGAAACACTGTTTTCTAACATTTTTAACTTTCTACTTGATTATGTGAAAGCTCTTTTCCTTAATTCTGTGAGAGGAGCAGACTGATTGGAAAGTGAAAGGAGCTCTATATACATTCAGATGCACTTTTACTAGAATGTTGCTGGCTAATAGTAATGTTTGGTTACTAAGCTGGAACATAATTTGTGGGCCCTTGTTCATAATATAACTGGATTTTCATTCCATCGTTTCCATATTACTAGATGTTTTCCTTGTCAATAATGGCCGTGTATCTAAGTTAACAATCAAGACCAATTTATACAGTATATTCTAAACTTACTATCTAAGTGAGATTATAGACCTGTAGAAACAGGCTGTCAAAATCATTTATGGATCTAAAGCTCTCAAATTTCAATAGGTTAGTATATGTAAGCAGTTTGAGCTTAACCATTCATTGAAGAACTCTTCATAATTTCCAACAGCATAGTCCCAAGGTAGGACAGTTCACCAATTCTGCAAGATTATCAGGAATATATAGAGCAGTGAATAAGCAGAAGAAAAATAAACACTAGGTAGCTTTAAGAATTAAGAAGCAGTATGACAGCAACAATTTGGCAGGAAAATAAAAGGAAGCTGATTGGTCAAAACTGCACTGTAGCTGCTTGTCTGAGAAAGCAGTTTTAAGAACCCAGATATGCCTGAGAGAATGATGGGCAGGAAAATTTGATGATGATTTGCAAATTGAAATGTTGGCAGAACTTCCATAAACAAATGTATGGTTTGGTAGAAATCTATGACTGGACAGATGTCGAAACAGCAATGAAAACAAAAATCTAGGAGCAATATCACAAGGCAGAAGGTGAAACCATTAGAATGACAAAAATGAGGAGAGAAACAATGCAAAGGTTAGAGAAGACTGAGAAAATAACTGAACAGGAAGAAACTCTAAAAAAGTAAATAGCACTGTAAAAAAGAAAACATAAAACCACATGGAAGAGAGGTCTGCAGTTAAAATGATGAAGAGTCTTTCATGCAGCAGAAAGGATAAGAAAAAAGGAGTACAAATAGACTTATTTTGCAGAGGCACTCTATTTTTCTTTAACATCCATTCTAATTGTATTCCAATTTCCAAAAGAAATGTATTTCTGACTTTTCCAAATTATGATTAATTTGAAGAATGCAACATCCTTATATTGTGCTTTGCTAATCTGGCCAAGCACTAACGTAATTATTAGTTGTCGCTGGCAACTATTACACATGAAAATGTATTTTTATAATCTTACAATACCCTAAGGAATAGAATGAATGTAGATAATATTCAGGATTACAGAGGATACCAACACTACACTATACCTTTCTCCTTCAGTTCTTGAGGCTTCTCCCATGTTGATTCCAGTGTCCTATTGTTATAGTAGTACGTCTTCCCATCGGCCGTTTTGTACTCTGTCCATTCAGAGACTGCTGTTGCTCCAGCCAATGTAGCAGGTGAAGCGGCAATAGCAACCTGAGGATGGATCATAGGTACAATAGGAGGAGCCATTCCTGGCAAGACACCTACATAAGAAGGAGCAATAAAAAGCAAGTACTGATAAAGTATCATTTTGTGAATCTGAAGCACCAAACTGAAATTAGCAAATATAGCAGCTTATAAAAGAAAGTTCAGCTATTAATGTTGGAAATGGATATATTTCTTCTAAACTGTATTCCCCATGTAAGTGAACTACACATATTGGACATTACCTAATCACTAGCACCCCTTAACAGGCTGTTTACTGCACAAGATGCAGGAAGCATTTTACATTGTTGAAGTTGCACCATTTTACCAGGGCCAAGAAACAGGTAATTTCCAATTTCATAAGCTGAATATAAGCACTAAATGAAAATGGGAAAAATACTTCTCTTGAATGTGAAATCACTGGCTAGGAATTAAAGTAAAAACAGCCAGCTTGTCTGCCTTTTCTCTCTTGACAGGTCACTGTGTGTGATCCAGCAGACCCACACAAGCAAGCAGGGTTTCCCCAGAGCCAAGCAAGGGAACAGAGCCCTGTGGACCTACTGAATTTCATCTGCCATTGGCAACAGCAGCATTTCCAGGAGTCAGGATCAGACACTTAGATGGTCAGGCAACCTGATGCCTGATGGGGTTTCCAGTTTAATGTGTTTTAAAGCTCTGTGGTGATTTTTAGAGGATAATTTTACTTTAAAAATACATTTTATTTCTTGATCTGAACTTTGTTTGGCATGACTTGGATTTTACAAGGACAAAATAATAAGTTAAATTAAGGACTAAATGATTCCCTCTGCTTATATATGAAGTGCAAAAATTAATTACATTTTAGGTTTTGTTACTCAGTTGGATTGTGAATTTTTTGCTTTTAAGTGTGTTTATGTAAAATTTAATTTTAGTTTTTAACAGAAGAAAACAAGTTTAGTGTCACAAAACGCTTAACATTTCATCTGAGTGAAACTGCTTTTTCAATGCAAATTTATGTATCTAAACAACCTTTAAAATGTAGATTTAAAAATTAGACAAACACATATATACACATACACAAGCACACTAACATGCAAACAAAGTTTGATCACTGTACAGATGGCAGGAGAGAAAAACCAAATACTGTATCCCACAAAGAAAAACAAAAACCATGGACATGGAAGAGATTCATATGAATAGAGTAGTTTAAACTTGCAGAGGTTTTATACTAATTAAGCTAATAATGTCAGTTAATTGGGAAAGCTTCTTGCTGGCTCCATGTGAAATCTGTGTTTATGTGTACTTTGAAAATAAAGATAGAGATCCAGTTATTTGGGAAAAGCAAATAAAAGATAAAACATCAACATTCACTACCATGCCAACTTACAGACAAAACAGACTAAGATTGTTTTAAAAAATTACCGGTCTTGGTGGTAGCGACTGTCTTTACATACGGGCAGCTGACTATTTGCATCATTGCTACACCTGTAAAATGGATAAGCAAGCATGTTGGAAAGCTGCCACTGTATGTCAGCTACCACTGGGAATCTGAGCTGTATCAGTTTCCTGCTACAAATTTAGCAAGCCATTTCTTTCCAATGGCAGTAAGAAGCAAGCAGGAAGGGCTGAACTCATTTTTGCTCTAGCATTTTATTAAAATGATGCCAGATAATTACACATTCCTCAGTTTATACTGAACAAGAGTATTCAAAGGACAATGTGCCAGTCCTTTTCAGGAAAAAAAGAGGAGTGACCCAAGGATTTAAATTCAGTGCAGGCAGGCTTCTCCAAAAGGTCATACTTATTTTGCTCTCTCTATTTACAAAACTTTATCCAGCATTTAAAGGAAACAGCTCATGCAGCCCAATCCTGTGCACACTGACTTGGAAGAAACCCCACTATGCTCAATAGGGATAAGTTCCAAGTATTCAAAGGATTGCAGCTTTAAGAATGTATTTATTTGGGAAAAGAAGAGAGTGGTGTTGAAAAGAAAATCATTCTAAGAGGCACAGAAGTATCGGTGTGGAGAGGGGGGACACAAGTTTGAAGGTAAGGAAGTGAACTGAAGTAGAGGAGGACAAAAAAGAAAAGAAAGAAGCTGAGTTGATGGCTCATCTGCAGCTTATGTTTGTTCTCCCTTATATCTTCTCTCATCTCTCCCACTATCTCCATTTCAGCGCCAACATGGATTGCAAATTAGTCCTTTAGCCATTACCCAAACCACATGGAAGCTGCTTTGCTGCAAGCAACTCCTTTATGGCTAGGATAACCTTTACAGTGTCCCATGATATTTGTTGAGAACAGTCAGGAATTGCTTTCTAACAGAAACATGATATTGACAGGGTCGCAGAAGATGAGGCCAGCAAATGGGGACGGATGGACAGGAAGTGGAGTGAGATTCCAGACAAGAGATCATTTAAAGGAGGCAATTGCATGAGAGGTACCAAGCTGTTACAGTACCTTCTAACACTTGAATGCAAAAAAGTAAACACTTCCTGAATCCCTTTTGGAATATTTTCACTCCCTTAATTTAGGATACATAAAATGAGATTAATTTTCAAGTTCAAAACACACACACAAAAAAACCAAAACAATCCTCCAAGAGCATCCAATACAAGAACCTTAAAATATCTTTCAAAGGTTCTTGTACTGTATCAGTCTTCCAGGAAGTGTCTTTTCTACTAAGATTCTCAAGCTTTATCCATGCATGGCACAAAATGTGAATTGCTGAGTCAAGCACAATATTTGCTAGAGTGAATTTATGCTACAAACTTGCAATGAACGCAAAGGTTAATCTTATTAACCATGTTTTGAACATGCCTGAAAATGGAGGCTAGAGCTGCAATCCTAAACACACTTACTAGGGAGTAAGCCCCATTGTATACAGTGGAACTTACTTCTGTGTAAACATGCATAGGATTGTACTGGAAGTTATTATAAATACACAGATGTGAAGTATCAGTGAACCTGGTTAAAACTTTTAATTCATAAAAGATTTTTGAGAAAAGCTGTCATTTCAACTATCAAACTTGTCAGGCTGCATGTACTGCTAATTTTTTGTATATGAACTAAAAGAAACAGACCTGGCTCAACACGGACAAGTATTACATAAAGCTAATTCCCCACACATGATGTACTGGTCTAGGCTGGTCCTGCTTAACCACAGTGAATTTAGAAAACTGTATGCCTGCAACTATGCTTCAGCATGAATTATCTAAGTTTGAATTAGTTTTATAGAAACAGTAAAGTTTCTAGCTACAAAAATTTAGTCTGCTTCCAAATAACGAAAGTCTCATGGGAATAGAGGCACAGTCTGAACTAGTACATTTTCATAAGGTGGAATGTTATTTTCGGTACCTAAATTGTTTCTGTAGGTTCCAGCCTCTTGTTTTCCCCCCTCTGTACATTAGTATTAACTTGACAGATTTATATTAGGAAAACAAGGTTTAAGGTTGGCACACAGACAGCTATACATCACAGTGGCAACAGGAAAAACTATAATGACATTGGGTAGTCTAGTTTCACTGCCCAATGTGATTGCATTATATAATGGAACAGAAGCTATTTGCTATTTTAAGGTTTTTCCCCATCACTGATACTGCAATGAAGGGTTTAATAACCTTAACCTCCTTCTTTTGTTCTGATGGGAGGTAGCTTGTATGTTTTAACAATAATTCATGGTAATACTTTTAAGAATGATTACTGGAATTTCATCTGATATATTTTAAGATTGCCAAGGTTCCACTACAAAAAACAGCTGTTTGGCATTATCACTGACTAGAAATGTTTTGTGAGTGGAAGAAATCTCTCCACATCAATATTAAGCATGGCACTTGCATTGGCATTATCTAGCAAATCAACTTTTGCCCGCAACCATCAGGTGATTAAATGCCCTGGTAGTCCTAGCCTCAAATTACTAAATTTGTGATTACTATCCCTGAAATTATGAATGGGGCTTACACAGTGACATTTGGCAAATGGCTACAAGATTATTCAGTGCCTAGTAAAATGCTTAAATGTTTTTTAAGGCCCAATTTGGATTACACAATCCTTGCAGGATAACCATGAGCTTCATGCAGCTGCATGCAGCCCTTCACACAATTGAGTCAGTTACACATAGATTCCTGTTACACTGAACCAAAAAAGGGGCTGCACATGGATGCATAACATTCATGCATATACTGCAGGACCAATAAGCTGTCCTTTAAAAACAAAAATTATATTCTACCCATTCTAAAAAAAAGGATTTTCACGAATGAATGTGACATAAGGATCTGGTTGCCCAAACAGAGGCATCACTTCAAGATCCTCTCTTCAACTATATCAGTCCAAAATTCTACTCCATTTTCAGATTGAAAGCTGTACATCTCAGATTTATGAACAGGTCAATGGACCACTCCATTGATACATTGTTCCACATAGTTAACCTATATGCTACTTGAAATTTCAATACTCTAATACTGGCTTTCAAAACATATGCATCATATATCCTCAGATCTATTTACAATAATTTCCAAATTAAAAGTATTTTATCCAAAGTGTGCTGTACATGATCAGAAAGCACTTTTCACTATGCAAAACACTAATCTTTTCCCTCTCCAAATCACATTGTGATTTTAAGGGATAAAAAAGATTAAGAAATAGGAGATGAACTCTGAAGGAACCATACATAATATTTTTTCAGAGAAAGATACCAAATTCAAAGACTAACCACGGATTTATTTAAAACTTTTATACCACATTTTAGCAAGCGTCTTCCTATTACCTGGCAATTACCATTTAGCAATGTGACTACTAAAAATTAAAGCCTTCTGCAGTTTCAGTTTAATTTTTATCAAGTACATATAGTGATTATGGTTGAAACCTGGAATTAATGGCTGCATTTTAACCATTGACACTATAGTTACCACTCTGAAGAACTTTAATATGTAATGAGCCAGCTTGATAGTTCAACACAGAAACTGTTCACTTCTCCTTATCTTCAAGGCAGTCTACTTCCACCCAAGACAACACCTATTTTCAAAGTAAGGAAGGACTTAAATTGCATTCTTATGGCACATTCATATGCATGTCTCCCCAGAGATTGGTAAAAATAAACTGAATGGAACTTACTCCTAAAATAAGTCTCAAAAGGATTGTAGCCTAATTATCAAACAGGTGAATTTCTTACAACTATTAACTGTAAGACCAATACATTGTTTTTTCGAGCACAAGGTGCCAAAAATAGTGTTATACATGACATGCGGCTTCTTTCCAATAAATAGAAATCTTGGATTTTTTTTACACTTTAAAAAGCCTAATGAATAACTTCAGATTTGTTGAAAAATATATTTTGAATGAAGAGGATTCAGGCAAATTCCATACACAGTGGACACATGAGTGCAAACAAATTGACAAACATGGACATGTGGCTGACAAGACAGTTATAGTTTCCCAATTTACCTGGTAGTGGAATAGGCATGCCAGGAAGGGGAACACGAAATGGAGGTACCATTACTGGTGGAAAAGCAGGAATTGCTGCAGTTGGCTGAGGTATTGCATGAGGAACTGCAGGAGGCAGTGTCTGTGGGACTGGCTGGGGTACAGTCTGCACAGGCGTAGCAGAAGGAGCAGAGGTTGAAACACTGACTGAAGGTGTGGCAACTGAAACGGCTGAGCTGGGGGTCTGGTCTTGTGTTGTAGGTGCTGATAAAGAAAACAAACATCTGAAACCCTGCATCATATAGTATGAATTGTATATTTAAAAGGACTCACCAACATACCAGTGTAAAGTTGGTATTACTCCCATAAGTGACTTATGAACATATATACAATTTTCAGAGAAGCAACTTAATAGTTTGCATATTATTTCATTTCAGTAAAAATGTCCACCATAAAAAGCATTTTACAAATTTAGATCTATGCTCCTCAAGGTGTTCTGTCAGTGTAGCCCCTTCAAAATGTTTTCTGCTACAAGCAATGAATCATGAAATAATCCCTGAAACTCTGTACATTTACCCCATACACACACGCACACACTCACCTCAAGGGAATATGTAAAGTAAATTTCTGAAAAGAGCTGATACTGAGATTTTTCAGCTTTCTTCAAAGGACAGTTATAGCATTTTATTTCACCTCCACATTTTCCACACAATGCACCTAACAAACCTCCAGAGCAGTGGCAGGAGTTTTCTGTTGATTCACCAAACAGCAAATATAGTCAGTTGACGAACGGATATATTAGGAACTTACATTATGCCAAGCCAAAATAAAGAATAAGAAATCTTCCCATCCCTTAAAATACAAGTGTACATATAATATGTAATATGAAACATAACTTTAAGACATCCTTAAACCAGTTTAGCATATATATGGCCATAGCATAATGTAAATATATTCAATCTTTTCCCCTCAAATTCAGTGATTTCAAGTGGCACCTGAATTTAGTACTAAATTTTACAGCAAGACTGGAGATTGCATTTAATAAGCTAACATTTCTTATTACAACATGTGAATTTAGGTCAAGCTATTAGAACTTGGCTGTGGTCTGAAGTTACTTAAAGAAACAATAGGTTATGAGAACATTGTACTCTTAAAAATAAGAAAATGTATGACCATTAGAATATTAAGATTTTCACATGGTTTTAAATTTGCTACAATTTAGTATTTTCTAGGAGAAGGATCTGAAGCTGCTCTTGAAGTAATTAGTATGACTGCTAGCACAACAGAAACCGAGTACTTCATGAAGCAGCTGGAAAGAAGCTGCCATTAGTATTTCTGGAATGAAATAAGTCTGTAAAACTTGCAGAAGGATGCTCTTGCTGACTTTTCCCATGCTGGAAATGTTAGTTTTGCTAGTTGCTCGGATTGCTCTAAGAAGGCATTATTACAGTATTCACTATAGGCAACTTCTGGCTTTCCAGAAGTTTGGCCTACACCTCATCGGCCTTAGCTAGGACTAACAATGGTGAGGATGATGGGGCCTGCACGCTTAAACATCTGGAGCATGACAAACTAGCAGAATCAAATGAGTACTGTCCAACCATCAGCTCTGGACATGGCCCTAGAATATCTGGCATCTACACTTCAACAAGAAATGGAAAGTACAGCAAGTAAGCTACAACTCCTATGGTATATGAACTGAATCCTGATATTTCACTGATTTTTTTTTTGTAAAAGTTGGTTACTGGGGCCAGAAAAAGACAACTGCATTTTGACTGCATTTACACAACCATTATTTTCATTTAAGGAACTTACAACACAATTCAGCCTTTTTATTGTGTACTAGGAGTAACCAGCAACAGGTCTGCAAATGTTAATGTGTTGAAACACTTTTAAACTAGTGTCATGCATCCATCTCTTCATTCCAAGGAATAATCAGACTGCCTTGGCATAAGCTGAACCTGATGAGCATATTGCAGAAAAAGGCGCTTTGGCTACTATCTTATCTTTCTCTATTTTCCACAACCTCAAACTCCACTTCCCTTGAATTGACATGAGTTTGAAGTACTGCAGAGTCATCAAACTCAGGAGGAAGAGTACAGAGAGGAGAAAGAAGAAAGAAATGCATTTCAAGAGCAACAGATACTTAAATGTAGGGGAAAGAAACGGATTTCAGAGTTTTTATACCATTAGTAACAAATGCACAGAGAAACCAAGGACACTCTTGAAAAAGTTTTATGCAGGCAAAAAATTCTGTCCTTCCCCTGTTAAGGTTAATGTGTACATGATACCAGAAATCTGATTCACTGTGGGAAGATGGGATAGGAGTATTACTGAACTGCAAAAGGAACCATTCATCTTCCTACTGATAACATTAAGTGTTATAACCAAGAAGGGCATTTGCCACAATACCTGATTTTGCAGGGTTATTTCCTCAAATGTACTAAGTTAAGCCTTCACCACAGACATATGGGGATTCCACTGCCCATGTCCTACGTCAGAACTGGTGTCCGTGTTAGAAGACGATGAACAAGAATGAAAAATACTCAAATCTAGCACTTTTAAAAATGTACCTTTTCTCTTAATAGAATGTTTTGTTTTAAATATGCTCTTAAGTAATGAGTGCTTCTGAAGTGGAGTTGTCATAAAGTCAAACGAGGGCACCATTTCTTAAACTTGGTTTGTTCACAGCATTAATGACATAGTGTAGGCATTTGTTTCCCTAAATTGTGCTTCCATGTGAGCATCAATTATCAGCAGACATAACAACCCAGTAGGCTCCTAAGGCATGAAGGTCAGTGCATGTCTGATATAGTCCCAAGAAGTACCAATGACATAAAAACAAAGACTATGAAAGAGAGCTAGTTTACAAATGCAAACCAGCCTCCTTTTGTTTTCACATGACTCTGTAAATGAAAAGGATAGTATGAAGAAGAATAAAGGCAGAACATCAGTGTACATGAAATTTGATCTTAAGATAGTGGGCAGCTTTTTAAAAAATTGGAATGATTAAATATGTTTTTTACCCACTAAAAGCCTAACCCCCCACCCCTTTCCCAAATTTGGCATAATTTACTCACTAGAAACTGTTTGTGAAACAGAGGTCACTGTGGTAGTAGTAGTTGAAGTTGTAGAGGACTGACTACTTGACGATGTAGATGGAGATACTGCTGGTGCAGGACTACTAGTGGTAGGTGTGGAGGAACCTACAGCTTGGGCCTGGGCCTGGGCTTGGGCCTGGGCTTGGGCCTGGGCAGCCAGAATTGGTGTCAGTTCAGATTGCTGAATAACTTTCACTCCATCAGGTTTAGTCCAGGCTGATTCACGTGTTCGTGCATTATAGTAATAAACCTAGAGAAAGAGTAGATAATTTTAAATCACTTTAAATAACAATTTTCCAGTTCATCCTTGAAAGTCCCAGCTTATTAGCTTCCAAATCAATATATTTATTGGTACTTTAGTATTCTGAAGAAAAAGTTGCATTATTATCTAGCCAATACAACCAATAAGGTCATCATGTTGCTGCATAATGTATCTTAGACAAGCATAAGAACAATTACTGCTATTGTTACTATAGATAATTCTTACCTTTCCATCTGGAGTTTTGTTTTCTACCCAAATCTCTTCAGTTGGTGGCATTGTTGGTGTTCCAGGGGCTGAAACTGGTGGCATTCCTGGAGGAAACATCATACCAGGAGGTGGTGGCATATTACCCATGGGAGGAGGCATGAAAGGTGGTCTCTACAAAGATATATAACAAAAAAAACCATTATCGTCCAATCCCAAATGCCTTCAGAACTAAGCAGCAACAGCATAAAATATACTGAATCTTTAAAACTGCATTTAATTTAAATATAATTAGGTGGTCACTGCAGAGAGAGAACAGTAACAGTAACTAGAACAGTAACTAGTCCCCAAGAAAGAAAAAGATACAGTATGAGTTGCATGCCATTAGTTAAGCACTGCATCTAAAGTTCAAAGTCAGTTTGCAATAAATACAAAACCTTTTATTCATCCAACATGAATACCAAGCTCAGGAATAATTTAAGAATAGCTTTGTGCAGCTTCCTATTGAATTTAGCACTGTGCAACTCCTCACATTCATCTTCTGACATTTACAGGTTTGTCATATATAAAAATGGAAGTAAATATTCCAGTAATGACCACTGCAGAAAATTTTCTTTCTCTATCAATAAATCGCCTACTAATGTTTTAACATCACTGTTTCAAGGTAAAAAGAGTTGAAGATTCTACATCTTTGCCTTATTTATGACATTTTATACTTCCCATCAACCAAATCATCCTGAAGTTTATAAAACCTATGCAACAATGAAAAACCAAAATAAAATCAAGTAACATCAAAAAAATCAGTACAATCTTCAAGTATAACATTTACAAAACCTAGCATCACAAGTGTATAAGACAGCAGAAATTCAGTATAATACTTGAGAAAATGGTTAAGTACCAAACATTTAAAATGCATTGTAACTTAACCTAAAATCTTGAGGAAATAAAAAAGGAGCGAAAAAGAACAAGGGCAAGCCTCTCTAGGAAAAGCATTTTATAATCATGTAATATTTTGTGTAGTCCTTAAAAAATGATAGCAAAATTATTTCAACTTAAGTATTATACTGTACTTTACTAACTTATTTCAAAAGTTGAAGCTTTAATCTTTTTTCCACCGGCTGAATGTTCATAAAGTTTCTAAACATTTGTTTTATTATTATTTTATGTAATATTGTAATCCACTTGGAGAGTCTAGTGGAATATAAGTTAAATAAACAAGTGAAAGTTCAGGGTAAAACTAACTATATGATGTTATAAACAATTAAGTTTTGTGCAGAAAGTGAAAGATTGGGTTAGAAAATTATCTCTAATAGGCCCTACATCAGTGAGGGAAATGGAAAGTTCACTAACAAATACTTAGAGAAATCAAGAGCACTGGAGTTGCCTGTTGGGTAATGCAATATGGCTGGGTTGGCAATTTCTACAGGTGATGACATTTGCCCATCCACAGCCTGGGGACAGGTTGGAAGCTGAGAGGAAAAGCATCCAATTATATTAAATTAAATAATAAGGAGCCTAAAAGGCAAGGTGGCAGAAGAAAAGTGGAAAACACTACAATTGGTAATAAACAGGAGCCTGAGGGAAAGGGAAAAAGACTGATGGAAAAGAAGCCCAAGGAGGGCAGAAAGCTGAGGAAAATGGGTGACAATTAAAAGGCGGGGGGGCAGGGGGAACTTCACATAGAGCCTACTATTGTTAGGAAGGTGTTAGGCTGAAGCAAGGAGCATAACAGAATAGAACGCTCAAAAGCAGAGACAATTTAGATAGTGGTAGGAGAACTAGGGATCTGAAAGAAAGGAGAAATTCAGCTTGGGTAAATAAATAGGACATCTGAGGAAATACAAAGATCTAAGGACAAAGGCTACATGCTGCAAGAAACAAAGGGAACAGACAAGTTCTATGCTGGCAAGGAAACTGGAAGTTGAGAAGTTGCATGAAAAAGAAGAGAACAATCAACATAGCTTTAGGAAAAATATCAAAATTCTTCAGTTAGAAAGGTAAATGCGCAATACTAACTTATGTTACTGCAATTCTTTGGACAGATAAGATCCTTTTCACTACAGGCAAATGGATGACACATTTTATCTTGGGAAAAAGAATCCATCATCCTTTCAAAAAATCGGTACTGCCTTGTAAAATGTATCCCATGCACTTTTTTTACCTGTAGATGTGGAGGTCCCATAGGTGGAGGAATTCCTCCAGGAGGGGGCATTGGAGGCATATTTGGATCAAATGGAGGACGTCCAAAAGGAGGCCGAGGTGGTGGAGGTGGACCTCGCATCATGCCAAAAGGCGGAGGGGGACGCATAAGAGGTGGTGGGCCTCTCATAACAGTATTTGGTGGAGGAGCTGGACCACGAAATCTCAGTGCTTGCTGCTGAGCCATTCTGTGAGCAAAAGCAAAGAGCAACCAGTTTTATCTTCAAACTTGTTCATAAAAACTGGTATAAGGAAAGAGTCAACATTTTGTGGCAGACGTTTTCATGAAGCCCCTCCTCAAACATTTGTAGAGGCTTTGTTTTACAATTTAAAAGTTATATAATCTCTAGACTGGAACTACTTAGAATGTAAAAGCATTCTGCAGGACTCCCTCCCACTGGCCTAACTATAAAGCACCTGAGGCATGTGAAGGAGCCTTATCTTTCCTATACACATCCATGGTTTTCAAATAACGTGTTTATGATAAGAAATACTAAGGCACCCAACTGTGGAATGAGACCACACACACATATATACCCTTTTCATTTATAGCCCGAAACAGAATTTGAGTATGGTAAACCCACTGTGCCACCCAGTCCCCTATACAGGTAGCTTAGTAAATGTATATATAGGAAAAAACGTTCACCTTTGTAACCAACAAACGCTCTTCTGATGCTCTCAGGAGAACAATTTTGCCCACCATTTAGTGCCAGTGCTATACCAATGTTGGCATGATGACTCAAAATTGAAAAAAACAAAGGTTATAAGGTGGTGAACGACAACAGACACATAATTCAACACTTATTAGTTAAACACCTTCTAATTTAGGAAGTTGTTTAGCACCAAGGCGTTTAAGAATGCTACTGCTATATACAAATTGTAAACTTGTGATATGACACCTTAAGTGGCCACTACCAGCCCCATGGACATATTCAAGGGCCAGATCAGATTACTGAATTACTGATAAGAAATTTTAAATAACATACTGCATGCATATTGCATCAGTTATGAAGAATACACACATGTACATATTTCATGCTAGGTCTTCAAAATATAAGCTAGCTTGGGCCCATTTCCAACAATGGCTCACATGAATTTCTAAAGGAGTAAGTCACTATACATAACTGTGCATACTTATGCATAACTGAATGATATCCATGCAATCTATACTTAGTTATTAATATACTAAATAGGGCCAAGAGGCCCCCAAGGTATACTTTCATTAAAGAAGCTCTTCTTCTGGTTCTGGAAACTATTGCCTACAAAACCAAAAGCATTAGTATCATAACTCACAAAATTAAGGTGAGGAGTAAGAAGTGGATTCAGGACTAATTTTGTGTCACACATTTGCTTTTTGTGATTCTCTTAGCATGGACACATGCAGTACTACACAAGAATTATATATTTTCTGAAACAGATCCACAACCAGACAGAACCCTGCTGAGTGCTGCTACTTATGGATTTAGCACTGGTCTATTTAGGAAGAAAGCTATCTCAAATATTTGCACATTTTCATTTACTTTTTTAAAAATATGTATTTATAAGTACAGATTGTGAAAGCTGTTGGGTCTACTCCAACATGAACATTTGCAATTAGTAAGTAAGGAGTACTACTAATTGAAATAGTTTGAAAATAATTCCTGAGCCAACACTAATAGGACATATCACAGTCCAAATCCATCTGGGGAAAAAGAAATCCAGAGATTCCAGAGAATGTAGAGCTTTTCTTTCTAGGCATGGGAGTTATCCAGTTCATACTAGGCATATGAAAACCCTGTTGTCCAGACTGAGAAAGGAGGAGAGTTTGTAGCCTGCCAAATAACACATCATGTTTAGGTGTAGTTTCTGCTTTCCCTCCCCCACTCTTCACTGTTCATTGATCTGCTTCCTCTTCCCAATGCCTTGCACAAGAGAGAGGAGAATTTAGCAGCTGTTAAGATTGAGGGCTTCTGGAGTGCAAAATAAGACATGCTAGAATTTGCTTTGTTATTATAAAACATTAAATATAATCCAATTCTGTTAACCACCCATAGAGCATTGGCTACCGGGCAGTATAAAAATGAAAATAAATGAATTAATTAAAAATTACAAATAGTATAATCACATACTAGATTTATTTTGGTAGAGTTACCTAGCTCTTCTCAAGGCAACTCAGGTATGTTCCCATGTGCAGAAAAGCATGAGGCTTACGTGTCAACTGTGCTATAACCTCTGCACTCATGCATTTTGCTCTTCATCCATACACGGAGAAGCTACAATTTGACACAGCTTTCTAGCATACAAATTTCACAACTACACCAAACAAAGCACAAGCATATGCAAATAACCACATATGCCAGTTTCACAGTTTTCCATATGGGAATGCCTCCTTAAGCAGAAAAAAATACCATTGCATGGGTAAAATTTTAGATGGCTTTTCTTACCCAGGAGAAAAAGGGAAATAACGGCAGCAAATCGGGTCAATTTATTTGTATGAGTTTGAGATTCAATAAGCTGTTTTATATACAAACAACCTGGGGATGTTTAAAGGAAATTAATGCAAACATGCTGCTTTACATCGAATTAACCTTTTGGATCATTTATTCCATATGAATCTGTTGCTGCCTTCCCGCTCCGCTGGACTACAACCCCCCTGCCCAGAAAGCACGCTGGCTAGGGATGATAGGAGTTAGGAGCCTAGCCCAGCTGGTCTACCGTGACGGGCGGCTACTCGAAGGTCTCAAGAAGGCTTCCTCCCGTCCCCAGCCACGATCCTGTACCTAGCGAGACGGCTGAACCCGGGCGCTTCGCGTGAGGAGCATGTGGCCCTACCCCGAGCCACGACCCGTCCCCATAAGGCACCGCTCCCGGGTGGGGCAGCCGCGCCGGAACTGCGAGGCTAACGGCCCCCACCCCCAAGCCCTCCTGGCACGTCTGCGCGCACCCGGCCAGTGCCCATTGGCGAAAGCCAGCGCGTGAAAAGCCCTCTCCGGGCGAAACGGGAATCCCGCCATGAGGGGCAGGAAGCCCTCTCCCCGGCATCCCCCTTTTCCTCCTCCTCCGAAATACCAAACCAAGAACCCTTTGCAGCGTATGTGCGGGGACTGGGGAATGAATGAAATACAGGGATCATTACGCCAGGGGCACAGCGCCGCAATGTGGAGTGCGGAAGGCGAAACGGCCGGCCCAGCGAACGGGGAAGCTCACCGCGGCAGGAATAAGGCTGCAGGGAGAGTGGAGGGGGGAGGAGGTGCGAAGCCCGAACGGTCGCTTCCGCCTCGAGCGGGAGGAGGAGGGTGGGAGGAACCACCGAGGCCGGAGCGGAGCGGGGGGGGGGGGGGCACGCGCACGCGCGCGCTCACAAAGGCCTCGTGCTCCGAGCTCTTCCTCCCGCCCCCCAGCGCGTCGGGCGGCCGTTGCAGAAGGAGGTTTCGTCTTACCTGATCTCATTATTGTAGCGCTCCGCCGCCCCAGTGTCGCCTTCGCCGCCGCCAGCTCCGCCGCCGCCGCTACTAGCACTACCACCTCCAGCGCCGCCACCACCTCCTCTTTCCGCCATCACCAGTCGACTCTGCCGCCGCACACGCCCACCCTCCTCAGGCATGGCTCCTCACTAGTGGCTGCTGGTCACGTCAATTACCGATCGAAAGAACCTCGGCCTAGCTCTGATTGGTTCTTGTCGCCGCCGATTTTGAATGAGGGGCGGAAAACGAGCGATAACTGGTTGGTTTCAGTGAAAGGCCCGCTAGAAGCGCCGTCGAGTTTGCGCCCTCTTCTGGCCCAGTTGTTTGTATGTCACGTGACCCATAACCCGGAACTGGCCCATTTTTCTGACCCATAAGGTAGTTTTGCCCATAGAGATAAGAATGAAAAGAAGATCAATCTAGTTGTGCATAACATTTCCGGGCTCGACTTGGTGAAGCCATTTTTAGTTGAAGGGCGCCAATTTTCGTTTCGAATGACTTCATGGCGGCTGATTTCCTGTAGCAGTTGTGGATCCCGCCGTGGAGCAGCAAAAGTGAGGTTACTGAAACGGGAATTTCAGCCTGCACGTCTGACCCTTTGCTAATGTGTGGTGAACGGAACGGGACGCCTAGATCCCGAGGAGAGGCATTCCTCTGAAGTCTCCAAGGCGGGATCTTGAAAGAAAGCGGAGGCCTACGACTCCCAGCAACGCATGCTGGTAGTTGCAGGATTTTATTATTTAATTACTGAAGGTGCATGGAACTGAAATGAAAGGCAACCTCGCCCAACTTGGGACCTCCCGCAGCTTTGGACATCACCTCCCAGCATCCCCAGTCAGCATGGATAGCAGGGGATGCACTGCAGTGCCCTTCGTATATTTCTGTTCCTCAGAACATGTCTACATGGTTTACATCAAAAAATTACAGTACTTGATTAAAATAAAATTAAATCATGGTCTGGCACCAGAAAGAATAGAGAGTCAGAGCCAGCCAAACCTCCCTGGAGAGCATTTTCCACAATCAAGGTGCCACCACTGAGGAGGCCCTCCTCACCTCCTTCAAATGGGGCTCTTGGAGAAGGAATTCCATAGACGATCTTAAGGACCGGGCAGGTGGATATGAAAGGAAGTGTTCCTTTAGATAACCAGGCCCTAAACCATTTAGGGCTTCATATGTTATTGCCAACTCCTTAAACTGGACCCGCAATGGACTTGTATTGTTCATGACACAAGTTATATCAAGGACAGTCAAGTGCCAAGGCACACTTATTTCTTTCAGAAGCATCCATAACTTCTTGGTTCCACACAGTAAAGGAGTTTGCTGGTGTTCATGTGTACAATTGCCTGAAATATATATTAGTAATAAATTGATAGTTGGCTTCACAGAATACGAATCATTCTCCTGCTTCATTTATGGTCCCTGAGTCAAATTCTCCCACAACATTTGATTCTGCTTTGTTTTGTATATTTGCATTCTAGTCACCTTTGCTTATTAGCATACCTTGTTTTTGTGTGTTATCAGTTTGTTCTTAGACACTTGCATAAATGTTATTGATTTCTTCTTCTTTGATACCTGTTGTTAGAGCATTAGCTTGAATTATGATTATGTTGTTTCTGAGCATTCTGATTAATATTATTAGTTGGATTTATATTATAGCCTCTTACTGCATACGCTACATCTTAACTCAGTATTGGAGCCACTCCATTTCTTCTGAGTTGGTCATTTCTTGCATTAAAGCACTTGGTGTTTGTCTTTCTGCAAATGTCCTATCCTGGTCCATTTTAGTTCACTCTTGCAAAGTACTGTGATGTTTAATCACTCAATTTCTTGGTTTACAGTTTCTAGTTTGCCTACTTCTCATGTTCCGTGTTCCAATTGCATGTGTTATGCAGCATCAGAGTTTCCTTTCACCTCTGCACATATCAGCCACCAAACTCCCTTTTGGTTTTGATCTACTTGTGTCATTAGTGGCCAACAGCATTATTCATAGTTGTCCTTTGTTCTTCCCTATTAGCTGGTTGAGTGCCTTCTGACCTGAGGGTTTCATCTTCTGGCACTAACTCTTCTTTCATTTTAGACTGTTTAGCTAGTTTAGTTTTCAAGGTAAGAAGATCCAGAAGTGGTCTACTATTGCCTTTTTCTGTGTAGTACTAACCAGTGTTAGCTTGAGTGTCACGGTCCTTATCCATGAGAGCTCCTCCATCAGTGACTCCTTCCAACTATTGCCACTGCCAAGGAGCTACACCACTTAGCTCCCATCACCATCTGAAGTATCCATTCTTGTCTGTTGAAGTGACCGTTCCTCTTGAAGAGGACGCCTCCACTTTGCCCATTCAATCTTGGGTGGTCCTGCTAGTACACCCAGCAAGTGAGACAGCCTGGCCTCCGGGGAGCACTGTTCTGGGTTTCTCTGGTACTTTCAAACCCCGTCACCATATTAAGGTGTGCACCCAAGAGGAAGAAAACAGGTTACTATTACAGCAAGAAACAGTCCATCTTGTGGCAGCTTTTAGTACTGCATCTCATTCATCATACTTGGTACAAGTTGGGAAGTAGAACATGAAGAATGGAACTGGGCACAAATAATGGAGAAATTTGCATCTCATAGTGCAGTTCCTTAGACTAAATAAGAAGCATGTTGAACTTCATCAGTCTATTACAGATTGGCATGCTTCATTTTTTAAAAGGATCTTTTAATATATTTTCTGCTTAAATAGAACTTCTAGTGTTAAATGTATAAGTAAGCAATTACAGTGCCACAGCATGAAAAACACTGGAAAATATTCCAATATGATGTTGGAAGACCTAAGTTTTAGGAAAATGTGTTGAATCTGATTATTGGAGGATATCTGGGAAATTCTCCAGGGAATTTCTATATTTCTCCTACCTGAGGTTAATTTTCTGCTTTCATTTTAATTTCATTCTATTTTATTTATTTATTTAACACTTTTGTGTACTATCTCATAGCCACATAGCTCTTTAGACAGTTTATATGATAAAAACCAACAGCATAAAACATCCTAAAACATCCTCAAAGGATAAAGTTAAATGTATTAAATAATACTAAAATATGTCCTGTGAACTAGTTAAATTTTTCCACTGTATCCCTCTTGGGAGGCGTCAGAACTAGTCCTGTGAACTAGTTAAATTTTTCCACTGTATCCCTCTTGGGAGGCGTCAGAATTCAGAAAAATGTGTTGGTAATTAGGGTTCTGTCCACACTGTTGTTTCTTGCAATATCTGGTTTTTGTGAACATAGTGCAACATGCCAGTATGGTCTAGATACCAAATTTGATCTAAAAGAAACTTTCTAGAAAAGGTTCCTCATCATAAACATTTGTTGTGGTGAGTCAGTACCTGCATTTGGTATTCTCAATGGCTCCCTTAACTACAGGAATTAATTTACAGTAGTTATTGTACCCTATGCTTATTTGCTCTGCACGCCTTCACCCAATCATTTCTTTGTGCTGGACCTCAAATGCTCAGTAGCCTTAAGTTGGCTGTGCATTTAGCTAGATAATTTTGCTGAAAACAGTGCTCAAGTCTGGGCTCTTGACAAAAGTGGAATGGTGTTTTTAAGAGACAATGGATTCCCAAAAGGGGAATAATACTACAGCTTCCTATTGCATGAATAAATGCAGCTAATAGAAGAGGAAAAGAAATTGCCCCTGAATATCAAGAAAGTGTGTTCCAGATATGTTCAAGTTGTACTCAGCTCTAGGCATCCTGCTATTATTGAGTAATAATGGCCATTGTAGAACTATAAGGCACATGGAGCAGCTGTGGTGGGCAAAGAAAAGCCTCCTAACTAGAGTGATGCAGATAAAACTGCCATCTTTATCCTGCATGCAGCACAAGGAAAACATTTGCATACCATAAATCCTCATAAATGCTTCATTGCTGAGTAGTCCTATTAATTGAAACTGGGTGGTGGTAGATTCAGGAAAGAGGAAGGTAGTCCCTCTATACCCAGTGGACAGTTAAGCTATGGAATTTGCTGCCAGCAGATGTTGTGATGGCTTTAAATGGGATTAGACAAATACTGTGGCTGTTGGTGGCTGTGTATTATCTCTAATATCAGAGGCAGTATACTTCTTGCTGGGGATGGCTAACATGGGTGGAAGGGTGCTGCTGTACCCGTGTTCTTCTTGTGGGGTTCCCACAAGCACCTGGTTGTCTGCTTGAGCAGACTGGTAGACTAGAGGAACCCTTGGTCTGATCCAGCAGAGCACTTCTTATATTACTGAACTGGGCTTGTATTTTCAGAGCTTACATAAGTAAGGATTAAAACTTCAGTCACCAATGCCCTCCCCACATCATTTGAATAATCCGTAAGTTGATTTTCAGTCTTCCTTTTAGCCACTAGGAGATCCCCTTCATCAGCTTTAGAATATGCTGATGCTGTTTTTCATGGATCTAATAATGCAAATCTTTCAGGGAGTCCTGGGTCTGGTTCTGACTCTCTTAATGGTTTGTCTAGTAGAAAAAGCATGTATGAAAACTCATTTATCCTGATGTCCATGCTTCTTCAGTGCTAGGATTTTCCTTTGGGTAGCAGTACAATATATCTAGATTGGTTTAACAACTTGTATTTTATTCAGCATTGTAATCTGCTGATTGGAAAGCAGGTTCTAGCCCAGACAAAAGATGGCACTTTCGTCTGGGCTAGAACCCATGTAGCAGCTGATCTGTTATTTCTCCCCATGTTATTAATGGCTTAGTAGAGTTTTTCATTTTGGATGTCCCTGAGATCTCCATAATCTAGGTGCCTTCTCCTTGTTGCATGCTGTGACCCATTCATTTAACTGTACAGATGTGAGAATGAATGTCCGTATTTACCTACTTACCTGGTAATAAACCCCAGTAAATGAGATCTGTTTATAAACATGCAAAGGACTGTACTGTTGTTCTAGCATCCTCCTTATTGCTGCATCCAATGCCATCAGAAGACTACAGATCCATTGGGGAAAAAGGGATTGTGTTCAGTAACAACGGAATAAAATTGGTGTGTGTGGGGGGGGGGCAGGAACTGTTAAGTGCAGGTAGTCCCCGGGTTATGAGCATCTGTGCTACGAACAATCTGTGCTTATGAAAAATTGAACCTAGAAGTCCCAC